AATGTTCGGTAAAACTCCCCTGTGAAGCCATCCAGGCCTGGGCTTTTCTTTGTTGGGAGAGTCTTGATTACATCTTCAATTTCTTCTATTGTTATTGGTCTGTTCAAGTTTTCTATCTCTTCCTGATCCAGTTTTGGAAGACTATGTGTTTCTAGAAATTTGTCCATTTCGCTTAGATTGTTGAATTTGTTGCCATATAATTGTTCATAGTAGTTGTTAACGATCTTTTGTAATTCTGTGGTGTCAGTTGTTACCTCTCCTCTTTCATTTCTGAATTTGTGTATTTGGTTTCTCTGTCTTTGTTTCTTGGTGAGCCTAGCTAAGGGTCCATCAATCTTGTTTATCTTTTTGAAAAACCAGTTCTTTGTTTTATTGATCCTTTCAATTGTTGCTGTTTTTTTTTTTTTTTTTTTTTTGTCTCTATGTCATTTATTTCTGCTCTGATCTTTACTATTTCCTTCCTTCTACTTGCTCTGGGGTTTTCTTTTTGTTTGCTCTCTAGTTCTTTAAGTTGTGAGGTTAGATGATCTATTAGAGATTTTTCTCGTTTTTTGAGGTAGGCCTATAGTGCTATGAACTTCCCTCTCAGAACTGCTTTTGCTGCATCCCGTAGATTTTGTGTTGTTGTGTCTTCATTTTCATTGGTTTCCAGGAAGTTTTTTATTTTTTTCCTTGATCTCCTCGGTGACCCATTCATTGTTTAATAGCATGCTATTTAGCTTCTATGTGTTCAAATGTCTTTGTATGTTCTTCTTGCAATTGATTTCTAGTTTCATGCCATTGTGATCTGAGAAGATGCTTGATATGATTTCAATCTTCTTGAACTTGTAGAGACTTAGTTGGTGCCCTAACATGGGTCTATCTTTGAGAATGTCCCATGTGCACTTGAGATGAATGTGAATTCTGTAGTTTTGGTGTGTAATTCTCTGTAGATATCTATTAAATCCATTTGATCTAGTGCTTCATTTAGAGTCTCTGTGTCCTTGCTAATTTTTTCTTTAGAGGATCTATCCAGTGATGTCAGCGGGGTGTTGAAGTCCCCTGCTATGATTGTATTGCAATCGATTTCTCCTTTGAAGTTTTCCAGAAGTTTTTAAATATATTTTGGTGCTCCTATATTGGGTACATATATGTTTATCAAGGTTATATCTTCCTGTTGGATAGATCCTTTCAGTATTATGTAGTGGCCTTCTTTTTCTCTAGTTATGGCCTTCTTTCTGAAATCTATTTTATCAGATATGACTATTGCTACCCAAGCTTTTTTTTCTTTTCCGTTTGCTTGGAAGATTTTTTTCCATCCCTTGACTTTCAATGTATGTGAGTCTTTTGTTGTGAGGTGGGTCTCTTGTGAACAACATATAGATGAGTCATGCTTTCTTATCCAATCAGCTACTCTGTGTCTTTTTATCGGAGCATTCAGTCCATTTACATTTAAGGTGATTATTGATATGTACTTATTTATTGCCATTTTTGTTTAGTGTGGTTCTATTTTTCTTCCCATTTCTCCTGCTAATTACAGCAGTCCTTTTAACATTTCTTTCAGTGCTGGTTTGGTGCTAATGTATTCCCTTAGCCTTTTTTGTCTGGGAAGCTCTTTATTTGACCTTCTATTTTGAATGATAGCCTTTCTGGGTAGAGTAGTCTTGGATTCAGATCCTTATTTTTCATGACCTTGATTATTTCATGCCATTCCCTTCTGGCCTGTAGTGTTTCTGTTGAGAAGTCAGCTGAGAGCGTTATGGGATTTCCTTTGTAGGTAACCTGTTGCTTATCTCTTGCTGCTTTTAGGATTCTCTCTTTGTCTTTAATTTTTGGCAGTTAGATTACTATGTGTCTTGGTGTGGGTCTGTTTGGGTTCTTCTTACTTGGGGCTCTCTGTGCTTCTTGAACTTGAATACCTTCTTCCTTCACCAATTAGGGAAATTTTCTGTCACTATTTCTTTGAATATATTCTCTAACCCTTGCTCATTTTCTTCTTCTTCAGGGACTCTTATGATGCGAATATTATTCCGTTTCCAGTTGTCCCACAGTTCTATTAAGCTGTTTTCCTGTTTTTTAATCGTTTTTTTTTCCTTTTGGTTTTCTGATTGGTTGATTTTTTCTACCCTGTCTGCTAATTCACTGATCCGGTCCTCAGCTTTCCCTACTCTGCTTTTTAGACCTTCCCATGTGTTTTTCATTTCTGATATGTTATTCTTCATTTCTTCTTGTCGGTTTTTAATTTCCAACTGGTTGATTTTCAACATTTCTATGTCTGTACTAATGGTGCTCATATCCTTACACATGCTGTTGAGCTTCCTCAACATCATTGCTCTAAATTCTAGTTCTGTTAACTTGCTTAACTGCACCTCATTTATCTCATCTTTCGTAGAGGTCTCTTGTTCTTTCATTTGGCTTTTGTTTCTGTTTTTCACCATTTTGGCTATCACAGTAGTCTTTGGAGTCTGTCAAATTTTCCCTGTGGGTGTTGGTGTTCTGCTGTTTGTGGCTCCCTCTCCTGGGTTTGGATGAGCCAGGAAGGACCCACTTTTTTTCTTTTTTTTTTTTTTTTTTTATCCTCACCCGAGGACATTTTTCCATTTTTTACTCAGATAGAGCGGGAAGGAGAGAGAGGAAGAGAGAGAAACATCGATGTGAAAGGGACACATCGAGTGGCCGCCACCCACACAACCCAACCAGGGCCGGGGACAAACTGCAGCCAAGGTATATGCCCTTAGCGGGAACCGAACCCGGGTCTCTGTGGACCGCAGGCTGACGCTCTAACCGCTGTGCCAAACCGGCCAGGGCCAGGAAGGACCCACTTTAAACACCACCGTCAAGTCTTAGCTTTTCTGGTTAGTGTTGCTAGCGCAGGAAATGGTAGTTATCCTCTAGCTTTTTTTGCTGGAGGCTATTAGTAGATGTCACCTGGAGAACCTTGGTTTCTGAGTTGCCTGAAAACTCCCTCAGGTGCTCAGTGTAAGAGGATTTCCTGAGGGTGGGGCAGCTGCTGGTTGTTAATGGGCCTCAATTAGCATTTCAATGGCCACCAGGTGGGGTTGAATCTCTGAGGGAGGGGCCTCCGCCTCTCCCCAGGGCCCTGGGAAGATGTAAAATAACCACAGTCCTGCACTCAGCAAAAGCTCTTAGCACCCTCCAAAACCCTAGTGTCCCCACACAGTTCCAGTCCAGTCTGTCTTCCCTCTGCTGGAGCCCAAGGTGAGTGGCAGCTGCCAATTTAGCCTCTGTCTAGACTCTGCGTTGTGGAGCCGCCTGGGACTTTTAACCCGAGGGTGCTGCTTCCAGCCAAGGGTGGCCAGGGCTGTAGCTCTAGCCAAGGGCGTTGCACTCAGCAGAAGTCCCAGGACTAAGTCGTGGTAGCGGGACACTGCCGAGGTGGCAGCAGCTTCCAGCAGAGTTCCCTGGTCCCAGCGATTTCGTGCTGCACCAGCCGAGGGCTTAGGAGGCAGAGTTCGCAGGTGAGGAGGCAACAGCCTCCTGCCTAATCCCCTGGTCGCAGCCAGTCCGTTCGGCACCAGCCGAGGGCTTAGCAGGCAGCAGAGTTCGCAGGACTCATGCTAGGTCGCAGCCGAGGCGGCAACAGTCCCCTGGTCCCTGCCCAGGCCGCTGCGGACCGTGGGTTCCTGGTCCCCTCTCACGTCCTTGCAAGCCTACCAGGATTGAGTCGGTGTCCCTGGTTATGTGATCCTCCAAGGTGTCTTTTGGTTGCCCCTTCCTGACGATTTGCCTTTATTTTCGTTGCAAATCCAGTTTGGTCCTGGGAGATGGTCTGTGTAGCTCCTTTCACTCCGCCACCATTTTTCCTTCTTCCCGAAGTTTTCATTATTAATATGTTTTAAATAAACATTTGGCAATTTAAATGTGGCAATGTAATTATAAGCATGAGCAAGTAGGTTTATTAAGTGAATTAATATATATAAAATTCTTTAAACATGTATAGTAAGGGCTACAAATGCATTATTAGCTGTTTATTCCAAACATATAAGGATAATTCAATATTATCAAAGAAAGTCTAGTTTATTAAATTAATAATTAAAATATACATTTATCATTATATAGAAAAACACATTTGATAAACTTTCACAACAATTATAAAAAAAATAAACAAGCAAAACATAAAAACATCACAGCAACCATAATGCTAAAAGGCAAATGGCTAAAGCCATCACGATTAAAATCAGGGTCAGTCATGAGGCAGAAGCCATACCAGTTATATTAGCAGAGAAAATGAAATATAAAGAAATATTAACTAGGTCCCAAATTATTCACAAATTAGTTTTTAAAAAGCAGAGAACTCGGGATCACAGAGGTAGCAGTTGCAGAAAGCAGCTACAATCCTATGATTGAATGGGATCAAGAAGGGAGGTTGGATTTTTTAAAAGGGCCCTATTAGAAATGAAATAAGACTTCTAGTATCTCTGAGGGGTTGCGGTGCAATGAGTTGGTTTCAACGCATGTTGAAAAAATTGTTCATGGGATTCTGCTGCTGCTATGAGAAGGAACTGCAGCTGCCAAGATGAGTAAGCATTGGTGGGATGATGCTCATAAGAACAGGGAGCAAATGAGAAGCCCCAGAAAACAAACAGGAAGGAACAAGTACCTTCTTCTTTCTTCAGCCTGTGAACTCTCTATCAGTACTGTTTAACAGGGAGTAAACTTGCAAAGCACAAACATAGCTTACAAAGTTCCAGCCCTAGCATCTCAAGCATAGCATCAAAGGGGTAGGTTTGTAGCTTAGTAAAAGACATAGTTGCTATCATCATTATTATTCAAAATTGTTTCGGAAACCTAGGCTAATACCAAAGACAAGAAAACAAAATAATCAATATAAATCCAGGAAGGGGCATTCATTTACTTGCAGAAGATGCTATTATACCAATAAACCCTAAGAAACTATATTAAATTATCTTTTAAAATAAAAGAGCAGGTAAGGTGGTAAGATATAAGATAAATATACAAATATAAGTGGATTTTTTTTCTCTGTACTAATTTTTACCCAGCTATTTCTCAGGATTATGTTTACACTGAGCAACCCTGCAGGAGAAGGTAATTTTCACCTCTGCAGCAAGAATCCGGCTTGTTCACTGCTTGCTATGAAATGATGAGATTTAAAGTTCAGTGTTCCTCTCCTGTAATGCAACCTACTATGTGTTCAGGCATCCATCTGGGCTCCTTTGCATCACCAATTTGGGAGTGGAGACTCAGGTAACCAACACAAACATGATGATACTCTGGTTGCTATATTTTGTCTCTGATCCAGGAGTTAAGTATCTTCTGTCAGCATCCAAGAAACTGGCAATTTAATATCTTAGCTTGAAAGTAAGGTAAAATATGAGACCTTTCACAGTTCTTGACAGTTGGCTGCTACTCTGCTCCACAAGCATTCTCATTCCAGGATCTAGGCTGAAGGGGCAACCTCTACCTGGGCACTTTAATGCCAAAGGACAAAAGCTCAACAGAGTAAGTATAATCATACAATTGAATTTAAAGCTTCTGTTTCGATGTGTTTATGTCATATCCACTGACATTCATTGGCCAAAGTAACTCACATGGCCAGCCCAAACGGGGATAGGAAGTACATTTCATCTTAAAAAGGTATTGCAAATTATATCTAATGGACATGAATGTATAATCCTTTTATCAAAGAGGGAGTAGTAGATAATGACCAATAATAATACAGTCTACCAAACTAGTGATCACCAGTTAAATATAAATGGAAAATAAAACCCTCCTTTTCACAACAGCAAAAAAAACCAAAAACACAGAATACATTTAACAAAAAATTACAATATCTATATGAAAACCACTTTTTTTGAAAGACATAAAACTCAATAAATGCCAACTTTTACCTTGTTGCTAGATGGAAATATAGTATGATTTTAAAATTCCATCCACATTTTAATCTTAGATGTTTGTATTTTTTAAAATAAAAACTAATTACATGTCTATATGGACCAGGGAATTCATCAAGGAGGACAATCACAGTTATTCACTGCCTAGCACTCTATGAGAATGAGAGTTATTCATATTATTGTCAAGGTGGTCAATCCTATGAAAAGTATATGAGAATATATGCCTTACTTTATTTGTTTTTTATATGCCTTACTTTGAATATTTGGATGTTCATGACAAAGTTCTTATGTTCTGTCTTGAAGTTTGTTAGTTATAAAAAAGAAACATATTTGGCTAAAGAATGCAGGGGCCTTATTTTTAGAACATCAAGGAAACTACCAACTACTTCAGATCTTCAAACTAATAATTCAACCTTGGACATATTAGCAGGCATATTTGGAATTCTGTATATGGAACCTGAAAATTTAAGAGCTAAATGCCAATATTATTATGTGTTAAGTATACTTCAGACAGTTATAAACCTCAGCTATAGGGAGAACAAATTGTTCTTAAAAAGAAAAAGGTATCTTCTCTTTCTGACCTAATTCTTAAAAGTGATGTCAGGGAAAAATGTAAAATATCATCTAGTCTGCTTGCAAGATAAATTCAGGTAGTATTTTCTTGATACTATGACAGAAAATTCCATTTGGAAATTTTGGAGGAAATTTTGACTTGTTAACATTTCATATTTGCCAAGCAATCCCCAAGAGATTTGGGGAACAAATCTGATTTTGTTGTAACTTGCAGAAATTTATTTGGAAAAATTTTTTGGTAAAATAGGTTCTTATTTTACCCAGAATAAATGAGCATGCTTTGCATGCCCTTATCTAGTTTTTATTGACTATATTTATGAAACTTTTTTCTTTAACTTTTATATTACTGGCTCTGAAAACAAAGCAGCATGATAGGCTTGATGTTAAAAATGGCCTGTATTGTGTTCTTGCTCCCAACTCTCTTCCAAACTCTTGCTTCCAAAGAAAGCTCAATAGCCAGCTTAATATGCACATAAAGTCACATAACTAAGATTAAAAATGTAGGTCTTATGTTAAACATTAAATCTTCCTTCAAAATACAATTGATTTTATTTTAAGTTATATGTAATTCTACAATTTAAAATGGAATCAAAAGAAACCATGGTTTTGAAATAAGGAAGTAGGTTAAAATACTTGCCTCATTTTTGCTACTTCAGAAAAGTAGCAATATAGAAGTGATTGCAACTTATTGTATACACTGTGTATTTTATGCTTCTGTGCCTTCTCAGATTAAGCTTTTTTTCTTTAAAATTCATTTTTCCTCAACTTATTAATTAAGCTAATTCCTTCTTGACCTTCAAATCTCAGATCAAATAAATAATTTTCTCTAAAAAGCCTGTTCAGATGGAGTGGCCTTCTATTCTCTACAACACCCTACTCAACCTTTTGTCTTAGCCTTTTCCACAAACTGGGTGCTCCATGCTGCCTGGGACCTTAGTTTATTTGATTTCATATATGCGGCTCCTCTCAGAGGGTCTATAGCATGCTAGTCTCTCAATATACATTGGTTGTCCAATGTTTATAGGTAAGTACATGCAGGTATATGTGTCGCAGAGAATAAGTAGAAGTCAATGATTAACCAGGTGGCAGTGATGGTGGGCAGTCAGAAAAGGTATACAGAAGAAATGACACCAAACCAGATTCTAACTCTGAAGAGGCCATGACACATTGAGGGCAAAGTTGAGGAACATGAGGGGAGAGAATCTCAGACAGTAAAAGAGTGTATAAGGGAAGAAATGAAGGAGGCAGGGAGAAAAGTTATTAGCAAAGAGGTAAAGAAGTATAAGGAGATTTAAGGCAATGTGGAATGGTGGGAACTGTGTTAAGCTGGAGGGTACATGCCTCACTTAAATAAGGGAGTCATTACCAGGTTTTTGTGTTGTTGTTTTTTAATCCTCACCCAAGGATATTTTTTCATTTATTTTCGACAGCGTTGGAGAGAGAGAAAGAAAGAAAGAATTGATATGAGAGAGACACATCAATTGGTTGCTTCTCGCATGACCTCGATCAGGGCTGGGGACCACACTGCAACTGAAGTACATGCCATTGACCAGAATCAAACCTGAGACTCTGGTCCATGGGCCAATGTTCTAGCTGCGGAGCCAAACTGGCCAGGGCCATTACCAGGCTTTATAGATTCTCTTCATATAGGAATTTGGAGCTTAATATTACCATAGTTTCTTTTTTAATAGAAGCTCATAATTAGATGTGAAATCTCCGAGTTTTTTGATATTGGTATGCAACTTAACGTCGTAACACAGGCTAAAGAGAAAAATCCTTGGGCTGAATGTCTGTTGACTTCTGTTCTATGTCCATAACAAGAAGCACATAAACTGGAAAACAAGCTGTCTTTACTCACCGGATCAGTGGCCAGGTGGTGATATGGGAATGATATAGAAACACCCATTTTTATCTCTGTGGCATTTCTCAGTGAACAGCACTTTCTTCTGAGAGTGTGCTCTCATTGCTAACATTCTCTGTCAGTGCGAGACTACTGCTGAATTTGTGGGCAATCCTGAGGAATTTCACACTCCTGAATGAAATGGAAAGATCTGGAAAATCCACTCTAGATAGTTTAATTTCACACTCTAAATAAATCACCAGGGAGAAAGGATAGGGGGTACAATAAAAGGTACAAGGATAGAAATTTGGGGATACACTTTCAGGGCACTTGAAGAAAAGGAAGAAAGTAGAACAAAATAATAAGGAGAATTTGCCATGGAAACAGGGAAAAAGGCCAATGAGGTCATTTATTATAATTATGCTCAGGTTATATAGTACATTTGTTTTTTATTAATAAAATGACATGAAAAGTATTTTTAATGACTATTAAATTATTTCTTCAGCATTCTTTTGCATGTGGGTTCAACAGTTAACATTCCCTAACAAATAATATAGTAGGAGAAAAGAGATATGAGGCTAGTTTCACATCTGCTTTACTTTAACCTTTCTGCACAGGAAAAACAGTCCTGTTGACTTCGCCCAGTTTTTAAACTTGGAATTGTCTCACCTAGAACTGAAAGCCCTCACACATGGTGAGACAAATCTTGTGGTGTCAAAACTGTAGAAACCAGGTATACAGTTTTCTTCTTAGAATTTAAATTCACCTGAGAAAGATTTACAATTAGTACACAAATATGGGGAAGTGTTCAACCTCATCAGCAATCCAGTATATACAAACAGCAGTAAGAGAACCTGAATCATTTGGAATAACGCTGGCTTCGCTGCTGGCTGCTTTGCTGTCACTCCTGCTTTGAAAGGGTGCTGGAGATGGTACATTTGGGACAAACCTTATAAAAAATAATTTGGCAAAGCAGTTCAAGATCCAAAAAATGTCCTGGCTCTGTAGTTTTCGAAACTGAATTTGAAATCTATAAAATAAGAAAAAAATTGCATGTATAAAGAGTTTTGTGTCACCAGTATTTATAAGATATCCAGTATACCTAAATGGCTATTAATTATTCAGTAGATTATTCAGGTTGGTGACCCTGAGATGAGAGTTGTTGTGTAGTGACTTGGTGAGAGTGCTTGCAGGTAAAACCTACAAGGGAGTGAGTGACCCAGGGTGGAGCTGAGGAAGAAGCGAGGTGAATATGTGGGTTCATCTGAATGATGAACCTCACCCTGAGCCAACGGGCAGCTCTGAAATATGAACAGTCCCACAGATTAAACTCACCTTGAACAAGGGTCTGGCATTTTTCTGATGGCAGTAATTGGCTGAACAACATATCTAGTGGGAGGGCGTAATCATCCCTGCATTTCCAGATGTGGCAGCACCTGTCACTCTGGAGAAGGGATTAGCTCATAGTACTTGGGGGATGGCTGCACTGGCCCAGTGAGGTCTGGACATTGGCAAGCACCCCTCTCCTCTCCAAGTTGAAGAATATGATTGATATGTCGAATCCAGCTCAATTATAAAATCTAGTACTCATATAGGGCAGAATTCCTGGACTCCAGTCAGGTTTTATCAGCCAAATCCTATTTTTTTTTCTTCTACAAACAGCATGCCTGTTTATTGGCAAATAGCTTCTTCCAGTGGAAGCTGCTCAATTATTCTTCCAATATTCCCATCCCCTTCTCTCTATCCTACCTTCTGCCACCATTCTGGCTTTAAATTACTAGGTGAAGTAATTGATCACACAGAGAGACAGAGGGGGGAGGGAGAGGTGGGGTAGAATGCAGAAATGTGGTTTTCACGGTTCAAAACTTGGGGAAATTTGTCTAATTAGTGCCAATCCAGTATATCACAGTAACAAAACGGGAGAGTCAGAAGCTTGTCCA